TATCTGGGTGATTATGTGTGTTGGTCTGCATGTGTATAAAATCAGTGTTATTTGTGTGAGAAAATCATTACGAATATGCTGCCAATGAAGTATACCCGTATCTATTAGCTGTGCCCGACGAGCTATTTACATGTTGTCCTTTCTGAAGACAGGTTATATTCAAAGTTTTCAATTACGATTTTTTACGTCTTTTTGTGTTCTCAAAAACTTTGAAGGGAATTACGGGAAATCACCACCGCGCCCGTGTTTTGTGTAATTACTGTTAGCATCTATATGACTTGTAATTCGACAGTGTACAGTGAATATAATTATTTCTTATATCTCTTATTTTTGAAATTCAGCAAATTTGCATATGTAATTTCCAAAATTGATAAGAAAAGGAGGATGCGCAACTAATTTCTAGCTTTGAATCTCAAATAACTGTATTTGAGACAAGCACCCAATGGAATTATCATCAACACATATTATTAGCACACAAATCCTCACTATGCACCTATGCATTGCCGTTTCCTTCTAGCTATAGGATACAACTTACAGCTTATACCTCCGGTAATGAAGAAGATTTTACATCACATCACAGGCAAACATTGATATCTGAAGCATCATGACGTTTAGGCAACCCGTACAACTACAAAAAGGGGTTCACAACTTGTCCATCACAGTTGTGTTCATTACCCCTAATGTGTTTAATTTCCAACTAAATTGATAATAATTTTGCAGGTTAGACAATAGAACGCTTTTTATTTTTTTACTCAAAAATGGCGCAGCGAAGGAAGACAATTCAAGATAGATCATTTGTCTTAAATTGAACGGGGAATTCAAAAATAATTACTATTTGGCAAAACACTATTGGCGTACCATTTTTTTCTTAAAAAATATCAAAGTTAATACCCGTACGTTCGCCACTGTTAAAGATAAAAATTATTTTTGCATTGAAAAATATGCAACTATATTAACTTTCACTACGTACTAAATATCAGTGAAATATCCGAAGCGGTTCTGAAAATATTAATTAATTTCCATTTCTTTCCTAAAACTTCAACACCCCGAGTTTTAGTAAGGAAACGTGTTTGGGCCATAGTTTATGAAGCAAACTAACATTAATTTTTCATGTAGATTCACACCCTTGAGTATTCGCGTATCATTAAGGAACGTCTTGTAAATCTAAAACGCTATTAACTGAATTATAATTACGCCACATTATATACATAGGAGAAAACCGAAGTACAGAGTTTGTCCGGAAAGTAATAGGACTGAGTCGATTTACAAAAAATTATTCAGCCAATCGTTACAATTCTTTAAAAACTTTCAGAATAGCCTCCTTCTGCGTCGATGCAGCGCTGCCAGCGCGATTTCCAAGCATTGAAGGCTTCACGGAAGGCATTCTCCGGAATAGCTTTGAGAGCCGCGGTGCATGCCGCTTGGATCCCCTCTGTCGTCTCAAAATGCTTGCCTTTCATCGGTCTTCTCAGGCGAGGAAACAAAAAAATGTCCGGGGGGCCACATCTGGGTGGTGTGAGCCGAGGCGTTGTCGTGGTGCAACTTCTAGTCGGCTGCGATGTCTTGTCCGACCCGACTGACCCTTCGTTTGAGTCCCCTGAGCACTTCCACGTAAAACTTGGCGTTGACGGTTTGTCCAGGAGGAACAAATTCATGGTGGACGATTCCTTTGATGTCAAAAAAGGCAATGAGCTTTGTTTTCACTTTGGATTTGCTCATTCTTCCCTTTTTTGGGCGAGGAGACGCCGTCGTGTGCCACTCGGAAGATTGCCTCTTTGTCTCGGGATCATACTCAAAGATCCACTACTCGTCACCTGTGATTACGTTATTCAAAAATTGGGGGTCACTTTCACACATACTCAAATTTTCTTGGCACACTTCCACTCGCCGCAATTTCTGGTCGTAGGTGAGCACTTTTGGGACCATCTTCGCGCACACCTTGCGCAAGTTCAAATGCTGTGTCACAATGTCATGAACCACTGATTTTGGTAAATTTAATATCTGGGCAACTAAACGAATACTTAGGCGACGGTCTGAGTTTAAAACTTTGCGCACACGAGTTACATTATCGGTGTTTGTCGAAGTCGAAGGTCTTCCAGCACGGTCTTCATCAGCGACCTCTTCCCGGCCCTCCAAAAATGCCTGGTGCCACCCAAACACACCACTTCTTGCTAAAGCAACACCTGGGTAAGCCTGCCTGATCATATCAAACGTCTCTGTCTCAGATTTACCGAGTTTCACACAGAATTTAATCGCGTACCTCTGCTCTAACGAACGCTGCATTTTCGGCTTGCACCACTCATAGAAACCCGTTGCGCGAAAATGCCTGTCCTGACTCTCCAAGTGCTCGGAGACAACTGACCAGCCGCTCATTCGTTAGCTAGGAATGCCCTCTGTCGAATCCAGTCGGTGCGCGCACGCTCCGAAGTACAGTCATGGCGAAAGAAAATGAGTCCTAGGACTTTCCGGACAAACCCTGTATGTCAGTCCTAGGCCTGTCTACGTAAAAAGTTATACTATTTCGTGACGCTAATCTAGGAAAGATGAAGCTAAGTTGGTCTAAAATGACGATGAAGTCTATAATGTCATGGACTGTATGTATGTACAACGGTTTTTAGAGCAAATTGCACAGTTTTTATACACACTCAAAAACTTGCGAAGCGTTGAAGCGTAGCTCTTGGGTAGTACTGTATTTATCTTATATTTTACTTTGTGTTCATAATAAAAATTACACAAAATGTATTTTACTCGTACATATTTCCCCGACATGATTTATTTAACTTCAGCTAGCTGATTAATGAAGCCGCGCAAACAGGTTTTCATTGACGCTTAGTTTATTCAGGTTGCACCCAATTGCACGGAATACATGAAAGCTAATACCTGTAAAATACGTTAATCCCGCACAGGCAGAATTCGAATTCAATGCATAATATTAACCTGCGGATATCATCGCGAATATTCTGTGACTCACAAATCAAATTGAACAATGGAGAACGTGTGATGCACATGAGATTTCATAATGATATATTTGAGTGGGATGTCTTACGCAATTACATTTACGATAATCTAATGATCAAGAGTAAATAACCACTGCAATTTTATGGGAACAAGACTTTCTTCTTAGCTCAGATTACTTTGGACCGCCTAGGCGCTGATTCGTATTTCCTATTTCCTCTACAAAATTTGGATGGTTGGAAATAAAAAATAATGTAATAACCTTTTCACTTTCGTTAATATTCCTGTCTATAGCATATTTTATCACCTGTTCCTTCACCAACCAGGGATTTTCTTTTCTTATCTTTCTCATTTTTCTAAATTCAGCAAATTTTCAAATGTAATTTCCAAAATAAACAAGAAAAAGTGGATGCGCAACTAATTTCTGGCATTGAATGTCAAGTAAGTGTATTTGAGACAAGAAACCAATGGAATTATAATCAACACATATTATTGGCACACAAATCCTCACTATGCACCTATGCACTGCCGTTTATTTCTAGCTATATTATGCCACTTAAAGCTCAGATCTCCATTTCTGAAGCAGATTTTGCATCACATCAGAGCCAGACGTTGATAACTGAAGCATCATTACGATTAGTCAATGAGACTTACCATGTTCAGGAACCACCTCATCTTGGTCACTACACTCATCATCACAACTGTTTGTCAAACCTTCTAATTGTGGTCCCATTATATCTTGTATTTGTGTATCAATCAGATCGAATGCTTGCAATTGGCATGAACCTCCCCCTGTCTTGATTATATTGGTTTTGTTTGTAGCAAATTTGCTTTTTGTTTTTTTCTTTAAATTGAAATATTATTTTATCTCGTAGAGTTTTTGTCTCTCGGTGGTACCCTGTTAGGGCTTGGAATTCTTGTTCGATGCTCTGCCATATTGAACCTTTCTGTTTCCACGTAACTGCGCCACTTGTTTTGCTCTCTATAACATCTTTACTTTTGCTCACCAATGATATCATCATCATTTCCTCATTCTTCGAGACATTGTGAGCTCTGTTTTTGATCTCTTTCTCCATGCTACAAAACAGTTTTTGAGAAATTTTAGCAACAAGAATAGAGGTATTGTGTATCCCCTTTATTTTTGGATTGTAGATTGTAGGAGTGATATTAAAAAAGGTGGAAAATACGATATTCATCAGATATTTACAACTTAACCGTTTTTGGACCTTAGTATGGTTCATTAGACATTGCATTTGCAAACTTTTTCATCACCATTTATATAATGCCGTCTATAGGGTCCACTACTAAACATTTGTACGAGCAATGTTTGACAAAACTTACCTTACTTGACGAAGGTTTTATGTTTTATTCGTTTTTAATGAAAATGTATGACGTATGACACGGGACACAGATGCCGAGCGCACAAAACACATAGAACACGATATCTATGAACCGCAGATTCAGGGCTGTAACTTAAATATATGTTGAACTTCTTGTAAGTTAACTGACGCTGTCAAAATACTTGAAAAACGCATTTGCAAGTAACTACAAGTTAACTTCCTGGCGATAGTTTACTAACCAAAAAGTTAACTTGCGATTGAAAAACCGAGCCATAATGTCACAAGAAACCAATATAATTTCAGAAAAAATCGACATAAGGTCACTTTTCAAAATACGTTATACCCGTGCTGTCTGTCAGCATCATAATTCGGAGAGACGTAAAAAATTGTACACTTACGTTAGTGAGCTATGATATTCGAGGAAGGTTACAGGAATGGTCTCATTCACTAAACAATCGTCGATTTCGCAATCAGTTGTGGCGGCGAGTAAATAACCTTCAGGGTGACTCGCCATCCCCATACTCAAGCTATGACTACCATGCCGTACAGACATTCTATGGCGTTATCAAATTGACAGCCAACTTGCATGCTTAGGAAATTTTGCTCTCTTATTAGTGTCGAAGCCTACATATGCCACGGGTGGGACCTTGGGGTAGAAAGCTAGTAAGAACTATTGAAAAACGATTAAATTAGTACAATTAGCAACTATTGGTTATAACGGCGGCGGAAACACATCAGCTGTTCCTGTGTTCCTGTACGGATATAAAGATTGCCTTTGACCTCCGTTGATGACCATAGATCATCTGAAACTACCTTGGGTCTGCTTGAATTGCTTCTGAATCTCTGAGTTCTCTGAGTCGATGAGGATCTTCTCACAATGGTATAGATTAGGAATTTCTCAACATCGATAGTCGCTTTTAACTGCAGGCAAAGCAACTGTTGTTGTATGTTGAAATTGTTGGTATCTGAAGTACTCGTAAGCAACAAAAAATGTCTGTCGTTGTTCAGAATTCGTCGGTCGTCATTAAATGTGTGAACGGGACAAGACATTCCGATGCCTTTGAACAACAGTCGATTGCCTACTTTGTGTGCTCTTCTGCGTCTCCTTTCGCACTGCCTCCTGAAAATGAAATTTTTGCAAGAGCCAGCGGGGCCTTTACCTAATGAGGGTATCTTATGAATTCCAGTTAAAAAATACTGAGATTCAGTACGACCTGTATATGGAACACCTAACTAAGGTTTGACAATGTCAATGTATGACATATTGTACATTTCTAGTTGGAAACAGTTGTCTAATCGAATCTGACGCAGAGAGTTCTGCGACACTTTTTTATCGATAGTTTGGTCAGCTGAATTTAACGGCTGCAAACCGTATGAAAATCATTGCTTGAACATACGTGTATCTCCTGCAAACTAATCTGTAGAAAGCATTCAAGTGCACAGTCGTGATTCGTGTACCAATAAATAATAATATAGGTGGATGATTCTTTCGCTTAGTGCTTGTCTCAAATACACTAGCTTGAGACAACAATCTAAGCAACGGTAGAAGTAAGTTGACAATCATCATTTTCTTATTGCGCTGACATATCTCATCCTAGATATCACACATGCAAATTTTCTGACTAAAAAGTACGAGAGATGATAGATAAAATCGCCAGTTGATTGAAAACATTACAACTAACAGATGAAAAAACTCAAAACATATGCAACCAACACTGTATGATGGACACGTTGTGAACCCGTTTTGTAGTTGTACGTGTTGCTTAAACGTCATGAGGCTTCAGTTTGGCTCTGAGGTGATGTAAAATTTGCTTCAGAGATGGCATTACTGGAGGTCTAAGCTGTAAGTTGTATGCTATAGCTAGAAGGAAACGGCAATGCATATGCTCTGGGCGCTGAAGAAAGACATTAAACGAAAACAGTGATCAGCACGTGAACAGATCCCTCGAAAGCATCCACGGATATACTCCAGTCACTTTAGGTCTAAACATCCTCGGCAGTGTATTTCTAGTGAATCCACAGACCCTTTTTCGTGTCATCTTGAGACTAGAAAAAGGATGACTGTTAAAATAAGTTACCTTGATCTTTCATGAGCTCCAGTACAAAACATCATCGATATATTTTTGATGTAGGAACAACAAATTGGTTTAGAAAACATCCACTTTGAACCTAAATTGACTGGAGTAACATCGATCTACAGACAAATTCAAGGTCACTAGCAGTCGTCGGCGCTCTACGAATCTGCACAGGTTTGGACTTGTAAACGTGATTGTAGATGACACGACAGGCATCTAACAGTTAATTCACGCACAGGATTGCATTGCATACGCATTACGCATTCAGTAGCGTATACTCGTTTTTCGCGAGTGGAACGTTTTGTTTATATATTGCCTAAGATACGATGTCTGACACAGATACAGCCGACGAAGTGGTTGACATCAGCGCAACCCCACCCAAAAAAAGGGCTAAGAAGCTACATTTAAGTGCAAATGAAAAACAAATAATATTAAATATATACAAAAACCAAATTCAAGAAAAACCCGATTTGGTCATGGACGAAGTTATATGTAAGGTAGCACATATTTCTGGAGTATGTCGGTCCAGTGTTTATAGGATCATTAAGGAATATAGGAGCACTCACTCACTTTCTGAGCCAAAACCGTATCCTGCAAGAAAAAGGATAACGGACGGAGTAGATGACTTTGACAGAACTGCCATCAGGAGGAAAGTGCATAATTTTTTCTTCCGAAATGAGATACCTACAGTAGATAAGATATTAAGATTAGTTAATGCTGATGAGGATCTTCCATCATTTAAAAGAACCACATTCCGAAAACTTTTGAAGGAACTTAATTTTCGATTCTTGAAACGGGGAAGAAACAGTATGTTAATAGAGAAAGAAGAAATTGTTGTGTGGAGAAGGGAATACCTTAGGAAGATTCGGAAGTTTCGCGATGAAAAAAGAAAAATTTACCATTTGGACGAAACGTGGGTGAATGCTGGACATACTCAAGCGAAAGTTTGGGTCGACAAATCAGTATCATCATCAAGGCAGGCTTTTCTAGACGGTCTTTCGGCTGGATTGAAAAATCCTGCAGGTAAGCTCCTTCATCTATCCGGCAATTTAATTTTGATAAATTCGGGCAAATAATATGCTGTGATAGCAGACAATGTGTGATATTCTCCAAAAATGGTGCATTCGCAGTGTAGTCATTAGGAAAAAAACTTCGACCCTCTTTTAAGCGTTATTTTGAAATTTATTATCATTTTTGGGTGCAGTCAATTTGTTTTGAATGGGTTTTGAGAAGTTGCAAACTTCAATTTTCTACGTTTTTCAGTTTTTGATCAGCATTCCGTGACTCTTAAATTCAGCTAAATGAACTCAATTGCCTCATTCCTTCAAATTTAATCAATCCATAGTGTAAGGAATAATTTATTTCCAGGAAAAGGCAAACGGCTGATCATTTGTCACGTAGGTAGTGAAGACGGCTTTGTTCCCGAAGCACTGTGGGCCTTTGAATCAAAAAAGACAGGGGACTATCATGAGGAGATGGACGGCAATTCCTTTGAAAATTGGTTCTCCAAAATGTTACTAACTAACTACTGTTATTGTACTGGATAATGCCCCGTACCATTCTAGAAAAATAGAAAAAATTCCCACAATGGCAACTAAAAAAGCAAACATACAACAATGGCTGGCCTCAAAACATATCGATTTTGATGAAACAATGGTCAAGGGTGAATTGATAAGTATAGTCAATAGACATAAATACAAATACGATTTTAAAATGATCGACGAAATGGCCAAAAAACAAAATAAAACTGTCTTGAGACTGCCACCCTACCATTGTGAGCTGAACCCTATTGAGCTGATTTGGGCCAACATAAAGCAATACGTGGCGTCGAATAATAATACTTATAAATTTTCTGATGTTAAAAATCTCTTTCACATCGCAGTCAATAGAGTTACGGCAGAGGAATGGAAAAACTGTATCCGCCACGTTCGGGAGAAGGTTGAGGTCAAAATGTGGGATTTGGACAATGTCATCGATACCCAAATTGAACCTCTAATAATTCATTTAAACGATTCAGAAGATTCATGTTCCTCTTCTGAATGAGTGCGCACAGCTTACTTACTAATAACTAAAAAGTGTAGTTAACTCATTTGTGAATCTCTAACTGAAATTTACTGTAAAAGATAATAATTATCTTGTATGAAATTTTTGATGACTACCCATAATATCTTGATGCGGTCCTGTAATGTCTCCTGCGCCTAAACACTCACTCACGAGCAATATGCGTATATTTGTTTGGGTTTAGTTTCTTTCTTCAGCGCCTAGAGAATAGATGCATAGTGAGGATTTGTGTACTAATAATATGTGTTGATGATAATTCTATTAGATTCTTGTCTCAAATACACTTACTTGAGGTTCAAAGCTAAAAATTAGTTGCGCATCCACTTTTTTTCTTCATTCTGGAAATTACATATGCTAATTTGTTGAATTTAAAAAATGAGAGTGATAAGAAGTAATTATATTCCCTGTACACTGTCGAATTACAAGTCGTAGACGTGGTAACAATAATTAGACACAATGCGGGCGCACTGGTGATTTCTGTTAACTCTCCTCAAAGTTTTTGAAAACACAAACAAACGTAACAAATGGTAGTTTATAACTTTGAACATAACCTGTTTGCTGCTCACACAGCAAATATCACTGACCTTATACACATACAGACCAATACATTTAGCCATCCAGATGCGATCTTGCTATTTAACCAACTTTCTTCTCAGAGATGAAAGCTACAGACTACTCGGCTTCACAACACTATAAGCAACCAACAATGCATGTAGTTAAGTCATTCCTTCACAGATGGACGCTCGCAAAAATCCTAGCGAGCGAACCTGAAATGACTGCTTGCACTCTGAAAACTACATAGTCTTCAAGATGACATTTTATATGTTTTTTTGACGAGTTATAGGTTTTTTACATAATACCCGTACAGATCGCGATCATAGTCATTCTTTCATGCAATAAAACCTTTCACTGGACCTGCACTTGCATGACTAATTGTCATATCATTATTATTCTGGAATTCACAATGTCATGCGAATAGTATTTACTTTGATCATGTAACGTGATACCCATTTACCGTGCCTGAACGTCAGTACTTTATGTAAGGTTGCGTAGAAATACACTGAAATTGAGATCTATCAGTAAATACTGATGCACTGGGGCTTTCGGGCCACATCAGTAAATGCTGATCATGTAACATTCGCCAAAGATCTTCCGTACTACAGAGCTAAACTCTGGGCGCTGAAGAAAGACATTAAACGTAAACAGTGATCAGCACGTGAACAGATCCCTCGAAAGCATCCACGGATATACTCCAGTCACTTTAGGTCTAAACATCCTCGGCAGTGTATTTCTAGTGAATCCACAGACCCTTTTTCGTGTCATCTTGAGACTAGAAAAAGGATGACTGTTAAAATAAGTTACCTTGATCTTTCATGAGCTCCCAGTACAAAACATCATCGATATATTTTTGATGTAGGAACAACAAATTGGTTTAGAAAACATCCACTTTGAACCTAAATTGACTGGAGTAACATCGATCTACAGACAAATTCAAGGTCACTAGCAGTCGTCGGCGCTCTACGAATCTGCACAGGTTTGGACTTGTAAACGTGATTGTAGATGACACGACAGGCATCTAACAGTTAATTCACGCACAGGATTGCATTGCATACGCATTACGCATTCAGTAGCGTATACTCGTTTTTCGCGAGTGGAACGTTTTGTTTATATATTGCCTAAGATACGATGTCTGACACAGATACAGCCGACGAAGTGGTTGGCATCAGCGCAACCCCACCCAAAAAAAAGGGCTAAGAAGCTACATTTAAGTGCAAATGAAAAACAAATAATATTAAATATATACAAAAACCAAATTCAAGAAAAACCCGATTTGGTCGTGGACGAAGTTATATGTAAGGTAGCACATATTTCTGGAGTATGTCGTCCAGTGTTTATAGGGTCATTAAGGAATATAGGAGCACTCACTCACTTTCTGAGCCAAAACCGTATCCTGCAAGAAAAAGGATAACGGACGGAGTAGATC